ATTAAACACTTGCTTGCAAGCTCGCTTGTGCCCAATTAAAATTTGTGACTAAAATTGCGTTTATCAAACTTGATTATTAAAATATTATTTTATATCCACACGAATATTAATTATTAGAACTTTCAAAATTTAAAATATTCTTGTGCATAAAATAAATTTATTTACAGGGTAAACTTTATTTATTTATTTTGACTTGACGTAATTTATTATTAGTGGCAATTAGAATGCAGTCAAAATAAATCATGGGTTAAAAAAGCCCCAACTCATTGGATTTTAAGTAGGTATACCTATAATCTAAACACGAAAGTCTATGAATATTTCGAACGCTAGTACTTACCTATCTTTACATGCAAGCCGAAAATAAATTTTACAGCAGATATTATTATTATGGATATGGTTAAATTGGAGCAGATTTAGAATAAACGTATGTTAAAATATAAATATTATTTTCTCAGCAAAATTACTATGCCTTGTTTAGTTTATGATTGGCATTATTATTTGTTAATTTTAAACGATTTATTAAATATTATTCAATATCCCTTAACTTGATCCAGCAATTGCACTATTTTGTATTTGGGCAATAAGGTTGGTTTATTTTAAAAGAGCGTTAGTTTTATGCACGAGCAAAGCGAGCTTGGCAAGAATGGGAATTCAGAATCGACCATTCTTCCCTAGTAGCACATAATATTTTGTCCCAAAATCAAATAAACATATATCATTATCAATAACAACAATGCACAGCTGATCAACTGCGAACGAAGTAATTTTAATGGGAACGCTTATTTAATTTTTAAAATAAACTAACAATAGGAATGATGTACCAACACAAATTTAATAATCTTTTAATTACAATTATAATTTGCCATACGATTTGTTTCTAAATTAATTTTAATTTCTTTTATTATTGTAAATATATAAAAACTGTTAATTTAAGGAAACAATAGTTTGAAATTTTTGACGAACATTTCAAATCAATCTTAAACTTTTTTTTACCCTTTTAATGATATTTTTGTTAAGGTAGACCTACGAAGTTTTATGTATTCTTGGGAAGACCACAATTTAAACATATTAATTATAAGATTACAAGCATAGATTATGTTTGTAATCTAATAATCTAGATTAGGTTTTATTTTAAATAGTGCTTAAAAGTAAAATAGCATGCTCTTATTAAACATTTAATTATTTTTATAAATTATTTATTTTTATTGCAATTCATTTTACGCACCTCTCTAGACACGCGTTTATTAAACACTCGCTCGAAAGCTTTGCTCCTACCTAATTATAACTAAAATGCCGTTTATTAAACTAGTAACATACTATATTATTTTCTACTCCCATACTTTAATTCGTTTATTAGACATTTTCTGCATGTACGAGGTGTGTTCAGAAAATATCGGGAATTTTCGTTTTTTGAAAAAAATATTTATTTATTCGTCTACATTAATGCTGTCGCCTTCAAAATAGTCCCCATTGGATATTATGCACATGTGCCAGCTCTTCTTCCAATACTCGAAACACTTCTAAAACTCGATCTTTGGGATAGCTTTTGGTTCTTTCAGCGATGCGCTTTTAATGTCATCTATGCTTGCAAAACGACGGCCCTTTAAGGTTCTCTTTATTTTTGGGAATAGGAAAAAGTCAGACAGAGGCATGTCTGGCAAATATGGAGGCTGGGGCATCATTACAGTATTGTTTTTGGACAAAAATTTTGTTAAAAATTTGACAATTTTGGAACAAATTTTGCTGCCACGCGTTTCATACTCAAAACATACGAAAAAATGTCATGAGATGAGCCAATCGATATACCAACATCATCAGTGACTTCTCTGATGGTTTATAACCATTTCTTCCACTTTTTCCATGTTTTTATCGGTTGTTAATGTGCTTGTGCGTTCGGGGCGTTCGTCATCTTCAACGTCTTCACGGCCATCTTGGAAACTCTTATACCACTTGTAAACTCTTGTTTTACTTATAGCAGACTCACTATAGGCCTTTGTTAACATTTCACAGAATTTATTTAATTTTTTAAGCAAAATTGGATACAAATTCTTTGATCCATATTCTTTTAACGAACGAAAATCGCCGAGCTCATAAAACACGTCCAACCTTAGCGGCTACCACAGACAAAGTAAACAATGAAAACAGCTAAAGTTTTTATCATACTTCGGGGGCATGTATACCAACATAATAAAGAAAACTTTATGACAACCGGACCCTCCGAACCCGCGACACACCTCGTATGCGTTAATTAAATACATCTCCTATACAGCCCATGTCTTTAATTAAGGCATATCTTCTAACGTGACATTAAAAAAATATATTTTTTCTCGTATGCACAGGTATAGGTCTATACCTGTAGAAGTGCTATATAAATTTTTGTTCTTTTACCGTACCGTTTTGCAATAATAAACGATAATGTTGTCTGTGTCATACCAAAATTATAATTTTGGTATGACACAGACAACATTATCAATCTCATTTTTGTCTAGAAGATCCCCGGCAACAATGAATTGCGAATACGTGATTATCTAGGAATATTTAATCTATTTGGTGACTTATAATTTCGTTTTTATTATTTATTATAAGGTATTTTTTTTAATAATTAGGCTTCTACCTTTCTTTGTTTTCTGCTCTTTTCAAGACTTTCGCTGAATTCAACAAACTGCATATTTTCTTTTGCTAACACCGCATAAAGAATTGTCACTGTCAAATTGGCATACAAAAACTCGCAATGTTGTCGCGATTAAATCCTATTTTTTATATTTTTAATTCACGTTACTGTGTTAAAATATATATGTATATAATAAAATAAAAAACAATTATAATATCAGTTAAAAAAAACTTCCATTACCCCTTATCCCGCAATGTACTGCCCAAACCTCCTTTTTTAAAGTTAATTTTCTACTTTATTATGATACTCGTAGAAAAAATAGTGTTTGCAACTTCCCTTTAATGGGCTTTTAATACTTGCACTTATTATGGCATAAAGCCATCATTAAAATGTCGTTGCATAAAATACCATTCTAAAATTGTTATACAAGGTGTCCCTAAACTTATTGGCATAAATTCAGTTAAAGATTGAGCAAGTCAAAATAAGACGAAAACCTAAATAAATATTTTTCCTAATTACTTATGTTTCCATGATACAGGGTGATAAAGTGTTACTTATCATATTATTTTTTTAATATAACTTTTACTATGGTAGTCTTGGAAAGGTGATATTTTGCGAACATCCACTACCAAAACACATATTCACATATAATTACAATTGTTTGAGTGAACACAGTGTCGTAGAAACGGGGGTTGCTTTAAGCTTATTGTCCCATACAAACTTTGAGGTTAGGTTTTTATAACATTTGATGCAATTTTTAGATTACACAGTTCGGCTACCATTAAAAAGGTGTACCTCTTAAACTTCGATAAAATAAACCGTTTCCGAGATATTCGACATTACAATAATTGTTACATTCCATGAGTCTCGGGACTTTTTGCCCTGACTGTCACATTAAAAAAAATTGTAGTTTTTTCAATAAAAAAATTTGTTATCATATATCTTTTAATTCTTTAATGCCATATAACACATATTGTAATCTCGGAAACAGTTTATTTTATCGAAGTTTGAGAGGTTCACCTTTTTAATAGTAGCCGAACTGAGTAATCGAAAAATTGCATCAAATGGTATAAAAACCTAACCTCAAAGTTTGTATGGGACAATAAGCTTAAGCAACCCCTGTTTCTATGATACTATGTTCACTCGAACAATTGTAATTATGTTTGAATATGTGTTTTAGTAGTAAGTGACTGTTCGCAAAATATCACTTTTCCAAGTCTACCATAGTAGATGTTATTTAAAAAAACTGATATAATAAGTAACACTTTATCACCATGTATCTTTTAAACATAGGTAATTAGGAAAAATATTTATTTAGAGTTTCGTCTTATTTTGACTTGCTTAATCTGCTCTATGCCACTAAGTTTAGGGACACCTTGTATAAAAAAAAATTTTAATCCTTATATTTATTTATTTATATAAAACCAAAAAACAAAAATAAAAAATGTATACAATTAGATTAAAAGTCAAAAATGTTGGATTTTAAAATAAAGAAAATTAAATTTTAAAATAATTTTAAAATGCGTATCAACTTTGTATAAAACCGAGTTTAAAATTTAATTGAATTTGTCAAAATATGGCGAATGCGCCGGGGAAAATGTTTTGGTAGTATTTGTTTTAAACTAAATTAACAAAGAAATTTAAAAAATAATCACAACACTTTAAAAAATTAAAAATATGTGTTAATTTATGAATTAAAATATAAATGTTCATACATAAACGTTTGTTAGTGTAAACATAAATTCTTTAATCAAATAAAATGGCATTGTGTCATTTTAACCTTTTTTGTCACCATCTTGGTAATTTCAAATTTTAAAAAGGTTTTTCAAGAAATTTATTTTTGGTGTATATTGACGGTGATCAGAAATCGTTTTTTTATTTTAAGACTAAGGCAATGTAACGTTCAAAACGGGCCAATTTCTCAACTAAACATAATATTGATTATCTTCTTTCTCTGTCTGGCGCGCGAACGTTGTCATATACTACCTATTTTTCCAACATATGTTACAAAAATCTAATACGAGACTGGAATACAAAAGAAGACGAGACGCATTAAAGAAATCGGAAGAGAATTTGGGTTACACGAAAAACGCAGATTACGAAAATGGCGATAAAATCTATAGTTTAAGGTTGGTAAAAACGTAGGATTTGCGTGGATTTTATTAAATAGGCGCGTTGTTATTGAGATCACAACGAGATTTCATCTCAGGTTTATCGTTTCTCATAATTGGTTTTCAAGGATATCTGTATGATGCGGCAACCTCGCTTACGCTACGTTCATTCATTCCTATTTTATCAATAACATTAAGACCATATAATTAAAAAAACTGGCGCTTTTCTTCCACTGACCCAGTGAAATATATCGCAATATATTGTTAAATATAAATACCTTTTTGTTTGAGGATAAGCCCATCGTCATGTTGTAGTGTATAAAGAACATCCAGAGGCACTCATACTTATTAATAAATATAGGATCACTTCATTTTTCTCGCGAAACACGACCTGTTTTCACTTAACATAGTTAAAAAACGCGACAAACCTAAAACACCCTAAAACTTTTAACAACGGTCGTAAGCTCGTTCATATTTTTGTTGGATATATCTCTTTGGCTTTTACACGATTGACTAAAATCGTGTGTAGGACGAGTCTGTTTGACGTCATTGACGAGTCCTGCGCCTTAAAGGACCAGACCTCGCCAGGAATGCTCTAAAATCCTGGCACACTGTGGCATAAACTATGGTTTCAAGTGGAAAAACAAAAAATCAATAGAGAAATTTCTCTCTCGGAAAGTTTTGCATTTTAGGACTATTTGCACAAAATATTACTTATAAAATACACGTTTCATAAATCAAATGATACACTGAGAAAAAAGTTTATGGTTCTCAAATAAAAAGAATAATTAATTTTAAATATGGGACAGAAGCATTGTTTATTTATCCTAAATATATTTTTATTCCTGACACATAAAGTTTTACTAAAGTAAATTTATGGTTATTATTTCGACTATTTAGAGGTAATAAACAATATAGTCACTATTAATAAAAAGTAGTAGCTACACAGTTTATTTGTCCCATGTTTTCCCAGTATAATCTATATTTGTAAATAAAATGAAAATTTAAGGGTTGTGTGTTAAAAACACTTTTGACGCAAGAAGAAGTATATCAAATATAAATAATCAAATATTTTACATTAAAATTTTGTACATCGTTCATAATAGGAAAAATTTTTAGAATTTTAGAACTTAAATTTGCTATGACAGATTTTTGATTAATATTAAAAAACTTTGAACAATGAGGTGTACCAGATTTTCTATTGATGTAGGTATTCTATTTTAAAAACAAAATCCTATACAACTTAAATATTTTTTTATTTACATAGTCTTGAAGAAAATCTTTAAGGACCTTGTTTTTGTCTGTTTTGTGTTATTCAAATCTAGAGTGCGTAGGTTGAGGTTTGACGTCATCATAGAACGTCTCCCATTCTGAAATCGGGCGAATGTTCCGGAATCCGGCCGGCGTTTGTTTTATTACCGTCACGTTGCTTTCCGGGAAAATTGCAAGGTACAGTAATCGACAACAAAAAGGAAACCTTGAAATAAAATTTGCTGCTTTAAATGTTATTTTAGTTTTAAAATTTGTTATGAAAAAATTGCTAATACAGAGTTATTAAAATTATGTTTTATGTATACATCAAACATAATTTCAATAACTAAATAAAATATCTTTTTTTTCAAGCGGCCATGATATACAACCTTATATGCATGTATAGAGATAGTTGAAGTGCGTCTTTTTCATTAGCGGCAGACAAAAAACTCAAAAAAGCCTAGGGATAGAAGTAAATCCATAGGTGACTCAATAGACGTCAAATAATAAAATTAATTTAGCATTTCACACTAAGCAATCACGATGTATTAATTATATTAATTATAATCGCACGGAATATTTAGTGATTATTTATTAAATTTTAATTGAACGAAATAAAGAACAACTAGTTTATTAGTATAATATTATGATGATAGACGAGTCGCCAATGTCGGAATTTCAAACAAATGTCAGTACGTCAAAATTAATTCAAGCGCAGCATTTTGACAGAGCTGTGTTTATTTTTAGTTTAGGATATTTATCGGCATTGTAAGTAAGAGTTATAAGTTTTTTTTAGTTTTTATCAATAATTTCTAATGCTTTTAGCCAAAATTTTATCCCACATGATTTAATTGAAGAGCTGCAGTGCGTGTAATTGTACATTTAATGTAAATTTTGCTTATTATATTTATATTACGCCCTTGAAAAAAAAACAGTATATGTTATTTGGAGTAGTACAGTTGCCTGCCTCAGCTACGCTTCGGCCGTCAATCTCTGTACTCGCCACAAAAAGAGTCACTTCTACTCCTTATGACATAATCTACTATTCTTAAATATTATAAATTAAGGGATTTGGGCCATCATTTTGATAAAGTGTTTTAGAAATTCTTAAATTGTTGATTTCATACCAAATTTAAGAAAGTGCATTAAATAATTTTTGTCTATAAGAAAAATTGCCTATTTCGATGCCGTTTACATTTCCTTCTAATAATTTTATTTACATTTTATAATATAATTTTGATAAACACAAAACAAAAAAAAAACAGTTTTTAACACATCGTGGACATCAAAATTAAAAGGTTTGCCAAAAGTCTGAAATAAAAAAAACCTAATTTCAATGTTTCTGAGAAGCTCTTAAGAGTAGTAGCACTGAAAATGGGCTAAGGAATTTTGACAATCAGATTAGAGAAGTAAACCATTTATTTCTCTCACGTAACTTTTATAAGTTCTTACTCTCTAAAAATGAATTAGTCAAAAATGACTAATTTAATGGTTATTAGTGGCTGCTTTTTCACTTGTACCATGATTAACCATGGAATACACAGCCAATTCTTATGTAAAATTGTCCCCTGAATCCGAAAATACCGTCAAAAATTATAAAAGTGGAGCAGTTTTTGAGATATAGTCAATTCCATATTAATTGGAAAATTGACTATATCTCAAAAACTGTTAAGTTTTAAGTTTTGTCGACATTTTCGGATTCAGGGAACAATTTTACATAAGAATTGGCTGTTAAATTTTGGGATACCATGGTATTCCATGGTTAATCATGGTACAAGTGAAAAAGCAGCCACTAATAACCATTAAATTAGTCATTTTTGACTAATTCATTTTTAGAGAGTAATGATAAAATTTATATTTGCTTTGCATTTCTCATATATTATATCACAAGAACTATGAATTTAATCGGGTAAACTAGGCTCAGTAGTTTTTTGTTTGGTTTTTGTTGGAAAATGTTGAATGCAAAATAATTTAATTTTTTAATAAGTTTTATTTTTAATTATTTTGCATGAAACTATTTTCCAAAAAGAAAAATCAAATAAAAAACTTACTGAGCATAGTTTGACAGATTAAATTTATAGGTTGAGTGATATACGTCTAGATTATTTCTCGAATTAAAGGAAACTATCTGACCATTCATAAAATCTGACGTATGTGTCAAAGTTTATAAATATTTTTTTAAAGAAAATTCCATTAATTTAAGGTATGTAATAAGTAATAATTGATATTTCGTAAACTAGATAACTTATTTTTTATTGTTTTTTAAAAAATGTTTGTTAAAACTTGTAAATAACACCATAAAATCGTAAACAAAAATCCAATATGGAGGCTAAAATTTAATCGCTGTTAAAAAGGTCTAGTGATTTAATCGCTTATTTAAACGAAATTTATTCGAAAATTCAAGGCTTTTGATCGGTTCATATTATATTGAGGGAAATAATCACTGCTAAGAAACTAAGAATTTTAAGAAATAAAAAGAATTTTAAGAAATTAAAAATTTTGTTTGAATTTTAACTTACAAAAAAGGATAAATAATTTAAACTTTAATTTTTTAGCATTTTTTATGTTATCTCCAAAAAAGGCAAAAAAAAACATTTTCACCCTAATATACAAGGTGGTCGGAATTTTCATCGGGAAACTTCGCCATTATAAAAAAATTGCTGCAAAAAATGTTTATTTCAATATCCTAAAAACAGATTTTTTGTTAAAATTTGGTATGCGGGTATAATTAACACTAACATAATATTGAAAATACATTATAAACCAGGCAAAGAAAGCTTATATGATAGCAGACATTTCACTGCCGAGGAGGTAGCCAAGGCAATAAATTGTTTGCGAGGAAATTAATAACTTTTTTCTACTCCCACCTTTAAAACGCCTATTATCGTACATGTTTCCAAGACACTAAGTGACCTTTTAAATACACATTGTCAAGTTGAGGCTTTATGGCGCTTTAGTCACAGGCTGAAGTTAGCAACAGGTTTTTAGTCACGGGCTGAAGTTAGTTTTCAAGTTAGTTGACAGTTGTCAACTTAAATTCGGGCACGGACTTCACTGTAAAGTGATCATAAAACATTTTCTTTACTTTCACTGTGAAAACTGTCAATTTTCAAGAAATACATTTCAATTTATAACATTTATAATTGTATTAATAAAATTTAAAAATTTGACATTTGACGGTGACACACAGATTCCCCTATTGTTTAATAGATGGCGCTCTATACAAATTTTTGATTTAAATCATTTTAAGATAATAATAAGTATTTGTCGTAGAAAAAGTATAGTATGCACTTCGTTTATAAACTTTTCTATACACTCATTAATTTAAGCACTCGCTCGCAAGCTCGCTCGTGCCTAAATTAAATTCGTGTATAAAATGGCGTTTATCAAACTTGATACATAAAATACTATTGCCGCTGGGTTTTATAATATTATTATACTGTTTTTTTCATTAGACTATTTTTTAAGACATTAGTTTAAGGTTAGGTTCAACTGACATAAAGACATTTTGGCTTTAGTTTTGTACGGAGTTTAATAATAATTTAACTAATATTAATATGAAGTCTTTACATAAACCTTGTCCAAAGTTTTTTGCCCTGATTAAAATTAAAATTAAAAACAGTATAATTGAACGTCGGGTTAAAGAAAAAAAAGTAATAACTTGGTTATTTTAAAAACAATCAGAAAGTTTAAGTGATTATTAATTGTTTATTTTTGAGTTTAAGGTAGTTATGCAAAAAATGTCACTTGGCTGCCTGGGTCTAAAATATACTTTAAAATAGTTATTTTAGTACTAATACTAAGAAAACAGTTAAAAATACTTACGTCAAAAGTAAAGTATAACGTCATAGCCATTTAATTAATGACGTATAAAATTTATCATGAATAATGTATTTTAAGTAAATCAATAAGCCATTTCAAGGTCCAATAATAATAAAAATACCATCCCAAATGTTTTATTGAAACCTATAGTCCAGTGGCGGCTCGTGATATATGATAAAGGAGTTTCACAAATTAAAAAAAGCGTCAGGAAGATTGTTGTTGCTTGCACGACTATTGTTACTTTTTTAAGCTTTCAAAACAATAAATAATATCAAACGTAAGTCCATTCTTCTGTTCTTATAAGCAGCAAACTTGTACTCTTACAATATTATAATTCAGTGTTAGTTTAATATCCAGTCAGAGAAAGCAAAGATAAATAATATGCTGGAAAGAGACGGGGATAGAAAGTAAGATTAGTAAAGTTATGATTAAGTTTTGGCCACTATACCTCCACGTTACTGACACTAAAAAAGTGTTCCCCATTTTAGTTACTTCCACGTAATAGAACCGTTTCTACCACGTGGCAGAGATTTTGGCAATATACTTTAAAGTTCCAAGTATAAGTGGCCAACACGTTTTAACCACTATAAATGCTACTTGGGAAGCGTCCAGATAAGTGAGTATTTCGTTCGTTGTTCGTTAGATGGCGAGTCAACTAAGAACCTAAGGTTTTACCAACGAAATCCATATATTCTATAACAACTTAACTTTTAACAACAAATTATAAGATAACGAAAACCCAAGGAGAGTCTTCTACCCTCCTTAACGAAAATTACATCTTTTCTTACAGCATTATAATAATAATTTGCAGAACGATTGGCAATACTGTAGTATTGCCAACTGTTCTGCCAAAATGCACAGTCGCCACAAACGCACAAAAGTTACGTTGAAATGGTTTTATTTGAATTTTAATTAAGCTTAGTGGTCTATTCTTTGAAATTAATCAATGCAATTTTACTAAAAATGGGAAAAGTTTGTTGTCCACAGGGATTAAAACAGGTTCCACGTCAATGCGCCATCTATTCATACTTTTAACAAATACTGAGTTATTTGGCCGCGTTCCGGGATAGAGATGTATCACCTCCTTCTTCCACCCTGGGCTTGGGATTCCCAAGCCCCTTCAAAATTATCTCGCCTCCCAAGTTGCCTCATGTGCTCCTTTGGAGAAACCGCCACTGCTCAGTTGTAGCCAAGTATACAAACTAAACTAATAAAAATGTAAAATAGTTGTATACATTGTATGCATGTATAGTATGAATGTGTAAATTTATAATTAACTAGTTTATTTATTTGAATAATTAAGCATATAATTAACCTATAATTTATAAAGTGATTTAATTAGCAAATCTAGCTAGATAAAATTTATTTTTTTGAATATAAAATTTTTTAAAAGTGTGTTTAGATTCGCAATCTAAAATTTCGGTACCTTAGAATGACAAGGTTCTAAGTGTAGCTGCACTGTTGTGACTGAAGTGACTTAGCTACAATATTAAATATTGCAGATAAGGCATTTTTGCTTAAACATGGCAACTGCACCTAGAACCTTGTCATTCTAAGGTACCGATTTATTAAAATGTTTTTAGATCTGCAATGTCCATTTGCTAAAAATATTTTTTTAATTTTGTTTATTATCTTTAGGTATTATTATAAACTGGCGAAAGCTAAAACTAAAATAAAAATAAAAAATATTAGTTTTATAGTTTATGTTAAGGATGATCGAAGGTTTTTTTTATTTTGCAAAATTATGGACTATACAATTTGTTATACTTAATTGTTTATAAATAAGATTGGATTAGACTTGAGTTTGTAATGCTGTCTAAATCCGTAGAGTGGATTTTAACATATCGCCAAATAAGTTTAACGTTTCCCAGCTACCTGTAGGCATATAATTTATATATATATATTTATATGATATAAACACTGTTAAACAGTACCTAAAAGGGCCCTACTTTAAAACTATTTATTGGATTAATTTGAAATTTTAAAAAAATATTCTTAAAATATTTATATTCATAAAAGTACAAAAAACATGATTTTTGGAAAATAAAACATATAGATAGGATATCTACGTTTTTTAAGCGTATAATAATTTTCATATAAATTTATAAGTCAAATTGTAAACCTTCGTACAAAAATGAAGCTAAAATGTCATTATGTCAGTTAAACCTTACCTAAATTTGATGTGACAAAATTTTAAAAAATATAAATTAAATGCTTAAAAAACAACAGTATATAAAACCCGGCCCAAACAATCTCGGCTATAATATGAGCTTTAGTTTGTAGTACAAAACTTTTTACATACCTATGTGATTAAACATAAATTTCATTTAGATACATTTAAATCTTCTTAAAAAGTATGTCTAAGGTAGAATTAACAGGATGCCTCAGATTTTAATCAAGAAAAAATTGAATTGTATGCTTTTAAGCATTGTTTTCGAGTTACAGGGTGTTAAAATTAATAAAAAAAATATTGCGACTTCACTGCTTTTTTTAAGTTTAATATTATATTTAAATTAGGCAATTAAAAAATACATATTTTTTGTCTCTTGCTTAATTTTTAAGAACAAAAAAATGAAATATGTTTCCATAATTTTTCCAGGGGCGAGTAAATTAAATGCTTTTTTTGATTTCATAATCTTTAAATAATATTAAACTTATAAAAAAGCAGTAGCGTATCCAAATTGTATTTTAAAATATCTAGTTGGGATGTTGCCGTCCCGGAATTAACTAAATTAAATTTAATTACATTAAATTAAACCCATTTAATAATTAAATTAAGCCATTGTCCATTACCAAAAACCTGAAAGGTTTTATTAAATTTGCCAAGGTAGTTTTTAAAAATTTTAAAATAAATATTTTTTAATAACTTTACCACGCTGTACCTCAAAAACGAAGCTTTAAAACATAAAAGTGGATATAAACTTTTCTTAATTAAAATCTGAGACAACCTGCATGGTATATAATTTATATTGGTCCTTAATAGGTTTGTTTTAAAATTTTAATGCTCTCAAAGGCTTAATAATAATAATAATAATAATCTTTATTGCCCAACAGGATTCTCCCAATAACTGGACAATGGTATAAATATATATAAATCAAATATATATAACAAGTATATATTAGGGTGATTCATTTCCGCAAAAAACTTTTTTTTTCTCGGCGCTCAAGCAAAATATTAATCTACCTATAGAAAAAAAAAATTTCACCAAGGTAGAGCTCTTAATATCAATTTTAAGTACTTGCAGTTTAAATTTAAAGTTTTCCCATTTAAAATGCATGTAAAAAAATGTTTTTTTTTTCAAATTTCTAATGCTCGCCCGCTCTTTACAATATTGTGAATCGGTTTTATGGACCTTATAGGGAATTTCACGCTCTTAAATTGTCTTTGTGTTTTTTGTGTAACTCGTAGTGGTTCGCCAGTAGGAGTCATCAAAGTTCAATTTTTTGAATGAACATTTTTTTTTGCAATTTTTTTTTAACAATTCGCAAAAAATAGTGAAAAAAAAGAGCTAAATGGTAAAAAATAGTCTTTTAACAAATATTTGATGAATTAACGGCCATTTTTATATCTTAAAACGTAAGTAATTGATAAATATTAACCAATTATGCTATTTAAATTAAACAAAAAAACACAAAGACAATTTTGAAGAGCGTGAAATTCCCTATAAGGTCCATAAAACCGATTCACAATATTGTAAAAAGCGGGCGAGCATTAGAAATTTGAAAAAAAAACTTTTTTTTACATGCATTTTAAATGGGAAAACTTTAAATTTAAACTGCAAGTACTTAAAATTGATATTAAGAGCTCTACCTTGGTGAAAATTTTTTTTCTATAGGTAGATTAATATTTTGCTTGAGCACCGAAAAAAAAAAAACTTTGCGGAAATGAATCACCCTAGTATATATCGTCGTTTATCTGACAAAGAGGCGTATCTCATTTTTAAACAAAACGGTGTGAATTGAATTACGCCAGTTTGTACGGCACACAAAATGCAAAAATATTAGTTACGCCGAAACTGATTTATGCTAAAACTTTATTTGTACCTATTTATTATAGAGCTACGCCAGTTTGTGAGATTATAAAGTCGATTTTGGTGATCATTCTGGTATAACTCAAAAACGATTTTTTTTGAGTTACGCCTCTTTGTCAGATAAACGACGATATATACGAGCCCTAACCACATAATGTTCGGACACTTCATAATTTATACAGAAATTTTTTTCGTGAATACTATCTCAAAATTATTAGAAGTTATGAAAAATTCAGCTTATTTTGGCATATACCCCTCGAAGCGATTTTTATTTTTAAAAAGTTTACCTTTTATTTTTAGCTTTTAAAAAAAGGCTAACTTTTTAACTTTTTTTTGTATGAGTAAAAAAAGTTATAAATAGACCCATTAAAAAGAGCATAAAATATTATACAAACCCTGAAAATTTGGTAAAAAATAAATAAGTTATAAAAAAGTATAAGTAATTTAAAAATGCTATTTTTAAAGAGTTTTTGCAATTTTCTTAGGAAACGGGAGATTTTGCAGATATATATATCGCTATAACTTTCTTATTATTTATACAATTTTTACCAAATTTTCAGGGTTTGTATAATATTTTATGTTCTTTTTAATGGGCATGCTCATGGCTCATGCAAAAAAAAGTTAAAAAGTTAGCCTTTTTTTAAAAGCTAAAAATAAAAGGTAAACTTTTTAAAAATAAAAATCGCTTCGAGGGGTATATGCCAAAATAAGCTGAATTTTTCATAACTTCTAATAATTTTGAGATAGTATTCACGAAAAAAATTTCTGTATAAATTATGAAGTGTCCGAACATTATGTGGTTAGGGCTCGTATATACAAAAGCCTAGAGGATTTTTCATGATTAGGCCATTAGGACTCCTGTATATTTTATTGTTAAATTAGAAGTAAAGTACTTTAAAATGCATTCTTTTACTCTTTAGTTCGTATTTTTTTGTCAATTTTCTTTTCGAAAAGCCTTTAACGAATCCGACCCATTTTCAAGGACCTTTTTTCCAAAATTTTCGGTAAACTGAAATATCGAAAAAAAAATTTACAGAAATATTAGGTCTGGAAGAAAAAAGGGTAAACCGATAACGGTGGAGTCAAAATGACTTTCTATCGTTATCGGTTAATTAATCACTTTGAAACAGATTGATCTAAGGTGACACCTGGTATAAACAGTAATAATTCATGTATTGTAAAATATGCATTTGTAAAATACATTTTATTATTTACTTATGTATTTCGCATCAATTCAATCGTCATAATTTTATTTAGCAGATCTAAAAATAAAAGTTAAATAATCCCCGACCTTTCGATTTCGTTAGGCTTCTACGAGCCAACAAAACCAAAATGAAGCGCACACCCGAAGCAGTCACTGAAATAATAAAAACACACCTCGAGGCAAACGGCCATAAAATCGCGAACGACAGTGAAAATTGGTGCATTAAAAAATCGAGTCTAGGCGGCCTGGGAGTATTCGCGACAAAAAACATCCAACCAGGTGATTTTATCTTCAAAGATTATCCTGTAATAATTGGGCCAAGGTCGAAAATCAACAAGGATGTCTGTGTTGTTTGTTTTAAAGATGAACCGATTTTGTGCTCAAGAAATTGTCACCTACCGGTGTGCTCAAAAGAATGTGAAAATTCCAAAATTCACTTGCAAGAGTGCGAGTTGATACGGAAATGGTCGCAAAAGAAATGTGAAAGTGGTTATAATAACTTAATAAAGTACATAACGCCGATAAGAACGTTATTTTTAAGTGAAAACGAAGAAAAAATTGTGAAATCTCTACAGGGACACAAAGGTAGTCAGCATGGATTTGAAGTAGATGCGTTAAGCTACAAATACGGCATGGTATTTAGTAAGGAAGAGGAACATTTTATGAAATTGGCCTGCAGAGTTATGGATTCCAACGCTTTTGAAGTCATTATTGGTAAATAAAATTGTATAAAAATAAAATGAAATTAACCAAGTAAAAATAAATATACTGTTTTGGCAAGCTTAAATCTTTTTCTATAATTATAACTCATAAAATTAAATTTGAATAGTAGATCAAATTAAATTACTCATCAACAGAATTATGTACCATTACTTAGTTTACATTTTTAATTAGCAATATAAGGTCAAAACCAAATTTGTCCATTTTATCAGATTTTTCAGAAGAGCAAAAAATTGTTTTCAAATAAGTACATTAAATTCTTGCAATATAAACGTCCTCTTGGTCTCCCTAGTACGCCTGAATAAGCCATCGAGATTAAAATACTATCAAAAAGTTTTAGAATGGAAATGTTTGTTATGACCAAATAATAATTTTAAATAACTGTGATACGATAAGAATTTAAAACAGAACGAATCGAAAAATCTAAAATCTGTACCTACCTAAATCAGTAAAATTATTTGACGTGCAAATTAAGTGTGCCATCTCGGTGTCACGGACTGTATAAAGAGCTGCGATTGGTTGGTGCGCCTGATTAGGTCAGCAGCTAATAAAATTAGAAATTTATTTTATTGACTTTTTATTATGATATCCATATTTCAGACTATTTAGACAACATCACTTACACTACAATAAAAACTAAAAAATAAAACTGAGAGACTGAGTTGACCATTCGCAACATTTAAAAATCCTTATAATAGTGCAATAACATTTGTCATTGTTTATTTTATTATTGGTAAGTTTAATTTAAATTCGATCTTCACTATCCTTTGTAGCAAATGCCAGGACTGACAACGAAGCCAAGTTTGGCTGTACGTTGGGCTGCCCTCTCTCGTATTAGATGTATTGGCCCAGCCCTCGGCCAGGCTAAAAACCTAGTCTTGGCTTCCAAGTCTCAACCAAGCTTTATTCAGACTATCAAGACCAACTCTTCTTTGCCAAGTCTCTGATCAGGCTTTTAAAACCGAGTTTTGCCTTCCAAGTCTCTGACCAAGCTAGACTTTCAAGACCGAGTCTTGGCTCCCAAGTCTCTAACCTAGCTTCAGCCAGATTTTCAAGACCAAGCCTTGGCTCCCAAGCTTTGGTCTGTTCTTACCACCCAACATTTGCCCAGGCCTTAATGTATTGTAATGGCCAAGAGGTTCATTACCAGTCTTGACCCAAAAAGTTATCATTTCAAGACTTACCAAATCTTGGCCCAGTCGGGCTTTAAAGCTTGGGCCAGAGTAGTGTAGAATTGGGTCAAGCATGGGCCAATCTTAAGCCCTTTGTTTTTTCTACATCGGATATTGAAGAACAGCTATTTGAGCTTACATTCGATACAAAAAATGTTTAAATTGATTTGATTTCGTAACAATATTTTTGTTTTTTAAATGACCAATTTTTTTTAAGAAATTCTTTTTTCAAAAAAGTAGAAAAATGACACCAAATGACAAGTTTATTTTATATATCATGTAAAACTATCTACCTCTGTCTATATAATTCAGAAGAAAGCTGTTCCCCGTTGATCACTCTTTTTTATATTTTTATTTTTTTTAACATTTCATGTTTCATATTGCACCTACAACCAATACGCTTACGTTACGTATTTTTAAGCTAAAGTCGTAAAAATAACAATACGTAGAAGCGGTTAAGTAACATTTTTAATAATAAACGACAAATATTGTTAAAATCAAAATTAACTCAAATTTATTTCCATACAAAAAATATATAATAAAAAAAAGACATAGTAAAAGGACCTCAGTGTTGTGATATTGTTGGCTGTAAAAGGCGCGTGGTGTAATCCCGCATCTAAAACCTTGCTGCGGAAGATCTGTATGGAACCGAGCCCCTTAATTTTTTAAATAAAGTTTAACTGGCCTTTTATTGCTGGGCGAATATGGAGCCAGCTTGGCCCAGATAAATGCAGTAAGCTAAATAATTATTTAGAGTGAGAAAAGGTGAGGAAAGTAAAGTTCTGAAAGCAGGTGAAGGGAAAAATAAATTTAAAAAACACTTTAAAAATTGGCAAACAAAAATAAGCATAAAGGAAGTATGGAACAAAGCGACCCTGACTTAAGTACAGCGGTTGAATTTGAAGAGTGTGCCGGAGGCCCTGTCGACAGTCGACAGGGTTTCGAATATCCGAGCACTGGCCGGGGCCTGGTCGATGGTCAGGCATCTGCACTACCCACGTGGTGTAGGGTTCTAAAGGTTAAGCTACGGCGATGTCAGTAATGCACCAGGGGGTCGCGAAATATCAGCCATAGATCAAGATGTGTTTATAGCACGTATTGTGGTTTGTGAGCATAATTGTCTGGCGTGTTATTGGGTGATGGCTTAGTTTCTTAGAGTAAAAATTATTGGACCAACCCATGACATATTTTTTTATGTAAGGCAGGCTTGCTGTCTGAGTTGATGTGCCGAAGCGCTTTATTTTAAAATCGTTGCAAAATCATTTATTGATTGTTAGTTGCGTCGCACTATATCGGGCAATAGTAGGTGATTACCGGTCTGATGCAGTCTAAGATAATACTGAGGTATTTTACAGAGCGCCTAGGTGTTGCAGTATGGTTCTCTAGGGAAAACGGTAAAAATATCTTGTTGCTTGTAAACTGTGTTGTACCTAGGCTGGTTATGACCTTAGGTACTCTACCAAGGTTTCTCTACGGTTGACTCCAGACACAGAGGAATACCTACCTCGGGTTGCTTTTATTCAGTGGAGAAGGTAGGGTTTATAAGAATCAGTTAGGGTTGGTGGTCTAATTTAAAATTATTTACCCAGGTAAAAATATGTACAAAAGTATCGTAGACTGTGGACCCAAAGGTTCTTTCATAGCCTTAAATCAGGACAGGAAAATGTTCCAGGGCTTTTCACAGGCAACTGGCAGGCACGGGCATGGTTTTCAGTCCTACAGAGAGACAGAGCAGATTTGCAATTGGACTCTAGGGTAAAAATACATATTGTTAGGTTATGTTTTATGCATACAGGATTTACAGTTTAATTTACTCTGTTATTAAAGTTTAATATTATACGGCATAAAGCCCTGACATATTAGGTTAACTTACTGTTAATATTCCACTGAGAGTTCTCTGTGATTTAGTGTTGGTTTTCGGGCTCACAATTGGTAACACCATTTGGAGTTGAGCCACCAGACGACTGATTGTCCATTGAAAAATGCAGCTGTTTTAATCGCTAAAGAAGTATCGCTAGTAGCGTCACCACTCAGATGTCAAACGCTTGTTTTACAAACGAGTGTTTTTGAGAATAAATCCGGAAAATGTTACAAAATATCGAAAAAAATTCTTGAATTTTATTTACAATTAAAAACAATAATTCACCATGATCCCTTTGATAAAATACACACACTTAAGTAACTATATAAACATTTAAGCGATGAGTTTCTTAATCAATGCTATAAGGAATAATCAATCAAAATCGAGTACTAAAAAAGTTTTTAAATTTTTTCCTTGCAACGTAAAACACAAATAACGTGTGCGATTTAGCTGTGCAATTGGACAAAATTTGTCGTGTAAGACTTCTGCCTTCCTCTCTTTTGTAAAGAAACTACCTATTTATTTAAAAATGATGTATAATCTGTGCTTTAAATGTATTGTTGACAATTCTTAAATTCACGCAATGCATTCGAAGTCCACCAGATGGCGCGCATGTTACTTCCCAACCCGATACTTCTTTAGCGTATAGACGAAATTCTGATGACAGGCTTGATGAAAAACAATTGGGGCCATGTGAAATGCTGATTATCACATACAGTGCTGTGCTTATGCCGTTCTTATGCCGTGCCGCGGCTCCCGAAATCAATTGCTTTAACAAATTTTTATAGAAGCATGCCTGCGGCTAATACAGGCACAACACTACGCAAGGATCAGTTTTTATATTTTTTAATTCACGTTATTGTTATACAATATTTTATTTTATTTTTATTTTAAGTTTTAATGTGCTTCCAGCAGGCACGGGCCCAATTACAGAAAAACACATCCAAACACAAACGATCTCTCTGCTTATAGTCCGCAGCGTTGACTACTAAACCACCGAGGGCGGTATAGGTTGCCTTTTGTATTAAAATAAGAAATAATTATAAAATCAGTTACAAAATTGGCTGTTTTTTAAATCAAATGTTATAATATGACACAATACCTATTACTATTTATGCATTAAGTATAAAAGCAACTCCCCCTACCCCTTTACCCGCAATGTACCTACTGCCCAAACCTCCTTAAATTGTTAAATTTTTTTAATTTTCAAATTTTTAGCTTCAATTTATCAACTTTAATAATCTAACTGTTTTCAAGTACCTACATATAATTATCTTATTTTATGCTCTGTTTTGTTTCTCTTTAAAATAAAAATTAAATTAAAAAAAATAAGTATATGCAACACATACAACTTTTTAATGTGCGTCTCAATGTCAGTTTCTTGGAAACACACTTCTGTAAAAAACACTATAAAATCCTCATGACATATTGCTGTTCTTTACTAAAATACCGATTAGGCAAATATCTGAAATGGGAAGCTTTTTTATTGATACAGCAAGCCATTCTGAAAATATTTTTATATTGCTTTACCTAATACAATATTTATTTTGTCTTCAGGCGTTCGGTCGTTTAAATTTAATTATTGTCAAAATCCACTATTAAAATGATTGATTCTCGCCTAGGCTAATTTAGATCATTTTGATAAAATTTATTATCTCCTAGTATGTAAAAAACCCGTTTGGAGCAATTAAAAAATACGATAGCTGTTAGATATACCTAACCTCACTTTCTACTCTTAATAATTATTATTGTAATTGTACGTTTTGTGTATTGTTTAACAAATAAAATGTTGTATGCCATTGGTATTGCATCAGAAATATATTATACTTGAAGAATATAATTTAAGTGTTTTTGCAAGTCAAATTTTCCTCTGAATACGAAACTGGTGTGGTTTTGACGATAATTTTGATTTTTATCGAGATTCCGAAGTTGGTGTGACAAAAGTGCTTTAAGCATTACGCATTCAAAAAATGCGTCAAAAACGCGGAAAATTAACAAAACATCAGCCGAAGTTGCAAAAAAGCAGCCTTGAAGACCAAACGTAAATGCGGACCCCTAGTGTCGCAGAGCAACAGGGGTCTGAACCCCGGAGGTCCGAATCCAGGGGGTCCCCCTGGTGGATCCACCACCGCTCATCACTATACTGTTAATCGTTCACTAATTTTTTAGTGATTTTAAAGTATCGATTTAGAAAAATTTCCTGTAAAAAAGTTTAAGCATGTCATTTGTATTATTAATTATTTTTATTTTTACATTAATATTCTATAATTTATTGTGATATTTTTTAGACGATAAAGACAACCAATCAGGTGTGCGAGGCTTATACCCGCTAAGCGCTCTGTCCAACCACGATTGCTCCCCAAACACCTTTTACACATTCGACAAGGACCACTGGATGATATTAAGGGCATCCAAACCAATACAAACGGGAGAAGAAATATGCAACACATATGTAAAGAGACTATGGGGTACCCTCAACCGAAAATTAATGCTTGAAAAATCCAAACATTTTTCTTGCACGTGTAAGAGGTGCAGGGATCCTACCGAGTTTGGGTCCTATGTGAGTGCCATGAGGTGCTCTTTTTGCAAGGTTGGATTTATTCTACCGATAAATCCGTTGGATATCAATTCCAGTTGGATTTGTGATGTGTGTGCGAGTAAGACAAATTGTCAAAAAGTTGGTAAAATATTGTCGCTGCTTGGAAATACGTTGGCTAGTTTTGGAAACGATGATGTGGAAATTATGATGAGATTTTTGAATGGCAAATTATTGGATTTCGTTCACGTTAATCATTACATTGTCTTGGAACTTAAATGTAAAGTTATTTTTATTTTGGGAAATAGAAAAAATTATGAATTACAAAGTAAGTAACTAATAAGCAACAAAAAAAAGTACTTATATATAAATATTTTAGTATTGTGTAGCCTAATCTTTTTACTATAACGTGTTCTCTCTTATTTTGCAGTTTTGTTAAAAAAAACACTTGAAATATTTGTTTGTCTATTTGATTAATTAAAGCTGTAAAAAAATGTAAATTTAAAAATCATTGTTGCTTTTTAATTTAAATTTAAATGGTTTGATAAAAATATTTCTCTTTTAAAGATATCTCAGACAGTTTATTGGAATTAAAACATCAATACTGCAGGGATTTCTTAAATCTTACTGAAAAACTACGGTTGGGATACTTTACATATAGAGCCCAAATTATTTCGGAATTAGTTTCCACATTAAAAGAGGAGAGTCGAAGAAAAAATAACACAAAAACTGAGGTAAGTTGTTTTTTATTATATTCAGAATAATTTTCAAAAACAACTTCTACAACTCATCGTAATACTAATTCAATAAAAAAATTTGCCAAAATACATAAATGTATTTAATTACAAAGCAATGTATTTCGTATAATGCAAAGTAACTCCATCTATAATAAAGTTTGGGAGTTTGAAAGTTTCGTTTGCAGTAAATTTCAGACCTGAATCCTGTGCTTAATGGTTTCAGCGAAAGATTTAATCAATATTCAATTTATTATACAGTACAAAAATAAATTATTAATGAATTACAGTGATAAAATAAAATTAGTTTTTAATAACATGCTTACAATAAAAGTAAGTATAATTCATAATCTATACGGAGAAAAGTAAATTTTTATATTAAGTACTCATTGCTATAACTTTGGGAGTAGTTACTTAAATCTTAAGTACTGACTACTTAATTTTGTAAAATTATATGGACTGTATAATAACCATTACTAGACATTTGATAATCCGTTGGGTATTGATTGGTAAAAATAATGAATCCTAAATATTAAACATTGATATTTATGTCTCATAATTAAGAACAATTTGTTACTTTTTTAATTAGAGTTTAAACTAAGGGGTCGTTAATGACATTCTTTTCCAAAATGTCCATGTTTTTTCTCTTAGACCACACTTCTAACCCAGTGGTGTGTTTTGTCTCTGCTATCCCAAAGGCACAAGAAGCACGCCATTTTGCTGTCCAAGGAGAAAGTTTACCATTTTTAAGTCCACATAAATCACCCATCCATGTTTATGTTACTTTATCTTCTTCAAGACCAAACCTATGATGTTATATTCTTTTTTTATTTTCGTTAAGTGGGCAATTGGTATTAAACCATATTTGTTCCCATTGTGTAGAAAAACACTTTTTAAATGTCATCTTGAACATATTCAGGAAGACCCATGTTTTTAGAAGTTCTCAAAATACAAGATTGTCTTCTTGATAGAAGCTAACCCTTTTTCCTTGTACAGTAAAGGTCATTTTGGTTCCTTTTTCTAGTAAAATTTTCTCTTTTAACCTGAAAGCAAGTAATTAAGAAGCTTCGTTTGATAGATCTCTGGTGAGGTCATTCAATTTATTTATTTATCTATACTATATTCAATCTATTTTCAATATTGTAGTTAGCACATGTGTGACATTTTCGATTTTGATTCTACAGTTCTTATATCTATTTAAAAACCCCTTAAACACCCCATATATTTTAATTAATTAAAAGTTTTCTATTTATGTTTATCGATTTTCCGTTATTTTGGTTAATATAATGGAACTGATCTATTATTAGATAATTTAATTCACCCTATTAAGTACAATAACGCTTGGCAATATTCCTAAGTAATTAAATATCCCAAGTGGATATAATAAATAAATGTCACAATCAGGGACGTGCTTCTTGGCCCCCACCCATCGTCAATTTTTTAAACATTTATTTAAACCTTGCAAGGTTTACAAGCTTGTAAACGGCCTGACAACAAAATTTGTTAATAATAATATTGAGTGACATTTTTAACCGTGGATAAAAGGCTAAAAGTACTATGCTTCACAACAAAAAGTCCCACTTTGACAATGGAATACAAATATTTAAGGTTATCCTGCCAGTTTAACGCTTATTAAATGAACCTAAATTTGTCCTATTTTCTGAAAATAATATAATATATTTAAAAGCGGTAGAATTGGCGTGGTATGTATATGGGGCATATACTTTGTGTTGTATATACATAATATTTATACATAAAATTATTTTATTAAAATAGGTATACATGTTATGTAAAGAATAATATACAAAATGCTAATAACTGTTTTAAAACTGACTAATCGAGATAGTTTTTTCTTCATTTTTTTTGTTTTTAAATATACTTTTAGAGCAGAACAATATTTAAAGTAATATTTTATGAAGTTTTTCAGTTAAAAAAACATAAATTTTTTAAAGTTGGTAATTTTTTCTTTTCATAAATAACTTTGATTTATTTTGCGTTTATAAACGGAAGAGGCGGTGTATACTTTATAGAGTCGTTGTCAAGAATCACAAGCAAGAGACCCGAGTTTAAGTCAATTGCGGCATTATAATGCCGCAAACTTGACTTAAACTCGGGTCTCTTGCTTGTGATTCTTGACAACGACTCTATAAAGTATACACCGCCTCTTCCAATACAATTTTTAAACATGTTTATAAATATGTAAATAATATTTTTTAAATTTTAAATTTAAACCTTTTTTTTGTTGCAGTTATATCTATAGAAGCTATAGAAGCTAAACTTTTTGAATACATTTGTTTGTAAATTTATTTAAATTTATTTTTATTATAAAAATCAACATTTCAATTAAAATAATGCTAATTTTGTCTATATTGATATCATTTCACGTCAAATTTTCAGTCAAAATTTAAATTTGTTTAAAATATTTTTTTTAGTTTACAATAGGATTATTTCAAAATTAAATGGACCATTTTGGATCCAGGATGTTTTTGCAATTTTAGGAGTAGAAAACTCAATCTTTACACAACCGTTTGTAAATAAGATTCAGCAATCTTCATACAATTTTAAATTTTTTATGCAAATTTTATAAAAAAATATATTTTTTCGAACTTCGGCATGGTGTTTTTTTTCAATTTTTAAAATGTACTTTCCAAAGTATACATGAAATATAAATAATTGTTAATGTCCTTTATAATTTGTTTAAATAAAACTACAACTGGTTTTAACAAATTTAATGCGTTTTCATTGAATGACAAATTAAGACCATAGATAACAAAGCCTTAATTAAGACTGTCAACGTAAAAAAGCAAACAACTTGTGTTTGTTTCTCTATGGCTGAGTGCATAGTACAGACTTAAATCATATAGTAAAGTTATAAAATTATATCTAATTAAAAAATCGTTTTAACTACTACCTTACTGGAAAACTTAATTTTCCACCCCCAAGCGATTTCTTCCCTCTTTTTTTTTAACAATTTTACATTAGCAAGAGTTTTTGTACCTTGTCTAGCCCTATTTGATTTTGTAGGAAAAAGATTTACTCCGCGCTTGCCCAATCATTCTTTGAACAATCTATATTTATTTTCATATCGCTCTTTCGATTTTTAAGAAAGAAAATTAATTGCTATTCTTGCCTCTTCAGCAAGATCTTGCGGCAGGTCTTCTTCGCTAGAACTCATTTTCAAAACGTAGGAAAAATTTCAAAATTATGATAGCTTCTGACAGCTTATAACAACTGTTATGTTTGTATTAAAAAAATACCATAGCAACAAAGCGCTGTCAACATAACGTCGGCGACGCAACACCTACTTAATATTTTGTCATAATTTTATAGTCCCATACCGGGTTAGTAAAAGGAACCGGAACGCTTAAAATGTCTTAAAACCGTTAAAAGGTAATAGAAAAACTATATACATACCTCAGGAGGAAAATGCTTTTCCTCCCTTGAATATATAATGCTCTTCGCTTCGCGTCGGGCATCAAACTATTCGCGGGAGGAAAAGCACTATTTTCCTCCCATGGTATGTAAATAGCTATTTCAAAGATTATTTCGATTTTGTGAAACTAACTTTTTAAATAATAGAGAAAAATAATAAGTTCAAACTTTTAAATAATCGGCATTCAGTTCAACACAATGGAATTGTTGTGTCCCATTTCCATTTCCATTTGTTGAAAACTGTTTTACGTTTTTGAATTGTTCAGAAAATAAATGCAATTTCATATACATACAACCAAACTTATATGGAATCACTTAGTAATAAACGAGAAACATTATTTCACTTAAAAAAAGTGATTTGGAAATAAAAAAGTACTTAATCTGAACGTATTTTATTACAAAAATAAAGAATAATTTATTAAAACAAATTACAAAATATTACAAAAAAATGTGAATTTCTCTAAGAATAAACTTTAGAATAAATTAGAAGTTAGGAGTAAATAATAGGTTTTTGTTAATTTAATAATTGGTGTTTTCCCCTCTAGCCTTAATGCAAGCACGAATTCGACGAGGCATGCTTTTTATTAAGCTATTTATTTCTTTTTGTTGAACATTTTCCCACCTCTCTAAAACTACTTCTACTAGTTGCTCTGCGTTGCCGGGTTGTTTGAACGGGCTTTAATCCTTGTTATCCCTTAAGTTCTCAGTTGGATTAAGATCCGGTGAATAAAAAGGCCACTCTAAAACAATCACACTTTCCATTTCTCAATAGTTTTTGACAACTCTACTTATCAGCGGTGGTGCATTATGAGTGAGTGAGAATGAGTATAAGAGATGTATAACCGGCCCCATTGCGTCATCTCTCCCGGGCCCCGCATAGGCCTCTGTTTCCTTGGGCAGATTTTCTTTCGCAACCAGCAACGGCGCGGCGCTTGCTAGTTGCGAATGTCCATTGCGTCCCGTACTGTCCCCTAATTAGGGCTCGAGAGCGAAATGCCAATAGTTTTAGTAGCCATTCCCGGGTTCGCCGAGCCGATGCTATACGCCCAGAAGGGTCATGAAGGAGGTAGGACGGAAGGGATAGAGAGTTTGGTGTTTGGGGGACAGTTACGCCGAATCAAATCTAAGTACAACGCGGGATCCCCCTAGACCGGGAAGTTAGTATTACTCCAAACATTTTGGATTACTGTTTGGAGTTGGGGAGTTTTTAATTCGCTGCAGGGTCCTAGTTTACTGGTCGTGGTCAACGTCTTGACCGTTATTGTCTCTGTCCGTTTCGGGTTGTTCCTGTACTTGTTATTATCTTGTCTCGGCTGTTTTCTTTCGCGTTGCATTCCTATCTTTGTATTAAACAGTTGGTGTGCAATTGATGCGATTTGACAGTTACCGGTGGAAGGTATTTTTGACTTCCACTGTATACTAATGTAATTACCAATTCCATTAGAATTCGGTTTGTGTGTTTATATTCTGTGTTTATGTTTTCTTAATTTAATGTTCGTTTGGATTTGAAGTGTTTATTTGGTATCGTTTCGTTTCTTTAATTTATGGGTTTGGTCTTTGTCGCTTTT